TTTCATAAGAAAAAGACAAAGTTCATTTGTTAATTAGCGAGGAAAAAATTAAAACCAATGAATTTAGTCGATTTTGTAAAAAATAAAAAAAATAATTCATCAAATTTCCTAAATTACATAATTATAAAATGAATCATTTGAAAAATACAATCCAGGTTATAAACAGAAGCGGACCCAACCGGTTGCGTGAGGGAGCACGTGCGCCCCATAACTTTTAATTTTACTATGCACTTTATACATCATAACTCATTTGGGTGAACCGGTTAAAGCTATGGCGTTTTATTGTGTCACTGCGAGTTTGAACCCACCTAAGAGGCTGATTTTTTATTATTATTTTTTCCTTTTTAAGCATTGGTGCTTCCTGTATTTTCAATTCCGGTCATTGCGAGTTCGAGCCCAGCTAAGGGGCTGATTTTTTCTTTTTGTTTTCCTTTAAAGCAGTGGTGCCCCCTCTATTTTCAATTCTTAGGTTCGCCTCTAGCTATAAGTATCGTGAGTGGGTAATATTCTAACACTAGATCTCTAAAATTTATTGGTTTAAAACTTTTTATTTGTTATTTGATACACTTTCATTGATAAAGACGATAGAAAAAAATAATTTCTCAAGTCTTAGTGCTAATTTTTGTGTGTGTCAATCGATTTTGCGGTTGGTAAATTGTGCAGACTTTTGTTCTTTTCTTATTCTTTATTTTTATTTTATTTTTTATTCTTTTCTCATTTTTTTTTCATATTATCCTTTAATAGACATACCATTTGATAACAATTTTTCTATTTCTTTCTTTATCCCTTTTCATTTTATTCTTTATTAGAGATACAATTTGGTAATACTTTTATTATTTATTTCTTCGTTCTTCCTTTTATTTTATTTTCTTTATTAGAGATACTATTTGGTAATATATACTCTTACAGTATCATTTACCATTGAGTATAGGGTGTGAACAAAAAACCTTAATGATATCAACAACAATATATATATATATATATATATATACACACACACTCTTATAGTATCATTGACTAATAAATAATGTGTGAACAAGAAACATTAATGATACCACAAAAATATATTTATACCCTTATAGTATCATTGACTAATGGGTAATTTCTTAACAAGAAACACCTTAATGATACCACAAATATATATACACACACACACATATACTAGACACAAGTGTCCGTGCTAGCACGAGCTCAATATTTGTTATATTTTGTCTCACTTTATATGATATATATAGAATAAATTGTTAATTATTATAATTTACAGTACCGTGTATGTAATTTTTAAATACTATATGTTACTTCCCTTGTTCCAATGTATGTAGCACAGATAGAATTTCAAGAGTCGATCAAATATTGTAAATTATTGAGATTTACAATATTTTTTACGTAATTTTCAAATTAAATAATACATGTTACTTCTTTTGTCCCATTTTATGTGACACAAATAGATTAATTTTATGAATCAATCGTTTTTTTTTGTATAAGTAATCAAATTTTTTATATGTTTTTTTTAAAATATTTCAAGTTGTCAAATATCACGATTTATAATATTTTTTCTCAATTTTTAAATATATAAAAAACTGAAAAAACAAGACAAACAAATTAAAATGGAAGAACCGCAAAAAATTTTGCAGTTAATTTAGAGCTGTCAATATGGGCTAGCCCACCCCATCCGGGCTAACCCATACAGACTTTGACATTTTACGGGCCAGGCCAGGCTAGCCCATTTTTTGTGTGGGCCAGAAAACGGTCGGCCCAACCCACAAGTACGTGGCTACAGGCTTGCCGGGCCAGCCCACTTTTTTAAAAGTTATATATTTTTTTATAATTATTAAATTGTAATTTTAAAATATTATCATAAATATCGACAAAACAATATTACATGGTGTTAATGTTACTACTTGTTAATCAAATCCACAAATAAAATTATCTTTATAATATTTATTAAGTTTTTTTTTAAGTATAAGTATAAATATCTAAAAAATAACTAAATTGAGAATTATAATATTTAAATGTACACAAAAATATATTACCAGTTTGAGAAAAATCATGTAACCAGTTTCGAGTAGCAACAAGTGTTTGGACATTTTCATGGTGGATACAACTTCTATACTTAGTGATTTCCTAAAACACTTTAAATAGATTTTGAGTTTGGATCTCTTTAATTTTAAAATTTAATATTATTATATTTTTTAATTAATTTTTACTGGCCCACGGGCCGGCTCTATCTATATTTCTCAAGCCCTACAAATCAACAGGCTTATTCAGGCCGGGCTGAAAAGCCTTTTTTTTTAAATGGGCTCCAAATTTTTTATCCCAGCCCTATTAAATCCCGGGTTAGGCCAGGCCGGCCCAACAGGCCTAACCCATATTGACAGCTCTGGCAGATATATATATGTAAGTGTGGAAGCACACATGTGATGCATACATGTTGAGGTGATTGTCCACACTTATATATTAGTAGTCGATATATTTATCCACACTTAATATATTAGTAGTTGATATATATATATATATATTTGTGTATAGTACAAATATGTATTTACTTCCTTTAAACTAGTTAGCTTTATAATTATGTATACTTATTAATTATCTTATGTTTTGATAATTATTTTGTCTTGTTTAAATTAAGAAGCTCAAATAATTAATCGATAATTATTCGTCTTATTTCAATTTCGATTGAATTTAGCTAATTGATTTGATTTGACTATATTCGAAATTCAATTAGCTAAATTCTAATATATTAGGTCACTCAAATAGGCTAAATTTGCAATACCTTTGCCATATTTAAATCCACTATTCTGAAACCCCTTATCCTATTAGCGAGAATATACATACGTCTATATTCTCCACACACACACACAAAACCGTACACCACACGTGTTGACACTCAATTTTGAGCGACCTACAACCATTTTCATATTGCTATTTGATTAAATATGTATTTTGTTAAAAAAATCTTTTCTTTTATGACATGTTTAAATTTATACATAATTTTATCTGAATAATTATATACTTTAACGTTCATAATTTAAAAAACTATTATTTTACTCTATTATTTCTTATCGATTGCTAAATTTGAAATAATTACTTTATTTATTTATTTAAACGTATATGATATTTAATTGTGTTTATTTTATATAAATTTTATTTAATATGTGTGAAATGTTATTAATCAAGTAGCAATTCATTTCCTCTTCTACCAAATTATTTAAATCATAGCTTATTCTATTCAATTTCTATGTCAATTCTAGCCTTTTCTCCAATTTTATGTCAATTCTAGCCTATTAATTTTCAGCCAATTCATAAATTCAACTTTAATCTCATCCATTCATTAGTATCGATCAACGACCACAATTTGATTTCTATTTTATTCCTATTCCTATTTCAATGACATTCACCCAACAACCCTACTTTTCATTCTCCACTCTCCTTGAGAACAAACACCGCCCCTCTTTCCTTTTTCCAGTCGCCAGCACCACCCACACCCTCACCGGCGTCCCTGTCTCTTCGTCGGCGAAGTGTCGCCGGTGGACCACTTCGCTGCTCTACCCTCTCCTGCTCTTCGTTCCCTCTCAACCAGACAGCCACCAAATCGCCTCTCCCCTCCCTTCTTCTCCTTCCAGTAACTTCTCCACCAAAAGACTGGCGAGTATCGCCAGCTTCAGATGTCCCTTGTCCTCTCATCTCCGCCTGACACCAGCGAAGCGAGCATAACCGCATCACAACCTACTACAGAGAAAGTTCTGTACCTAAGCACCAGAGGCTCCTTATCGAAGGATCATTTTATGACTGTAAGAATCTGTCCATGGTATAATCATTTAGCTATTCATTGTGTGCTCGATTAATTTAGATTCATGAATGGTCCTGAGATTTGAAATTAGGTCAGGTTTGGGTTTAAGTTCGTCTGATAGTTGTCCACAAATGTTGTGAATTCTGGTTCAACCTTGAACTTTTCTATGATTTTTGCTCATTGATTATACATTGCCACTGTGAGATTTGATTATTCAATTACATGTCTATTTCCTTTCCTTTAAACGATAACCTTTAATTATTTCTGAACCGTGTTTTAAAGTTATTTGCTTAAATTTGAATTTGTGGCAAATTCAGTACTTAATTTTGGTGAGCGTGTGAACATTCTTAATTCTTAGTAACCTATGATCACTTCCATTTTTACTTGCTTCTTTTCATATCAATTCAAATTATGACAGCCTACTCTTTGTGGCTGAATTTATTACCTTCCATGATTCATGACTTCTCGTTTGTTTCCTTTGATTGCTCGCTGAAACAATGTTACTATTTGTTAATTATGGTAAGTTGTCCTAATTGATTGAATTGTTGTACTACAAGGAGCGATTTTAGTGATCTGATATGAAATCGTGTGATAGTCTTGACATTTGTTAAATTCAGTTTGATTTCTTGTATTTATCTTGATTCAATTTTGTTAAAAAAGGAAAGATATTTCCCTGATTTAGCTCTAATTGATTCCTTGCATTTTACTGTTAAGTCTCTATTTTACTATATAAGGAGCATTCTTCTCTTTCTATGGGATCATGAACAGCAGCCCTCGAGCTTTCTTTCCCTCAAAAAGAGTAACTGATACAAAGATCACTGGGAAAATAGCCCTTGAGTTCTCTTTCTCTCCATAGAATAACTAATCACGGATCACTGATGAAAGATCCCAAAAGGCTCTCTTCCTCTTTTACAATATAACTAGAAGGCCTCGATATTTCCAAAGGACCTATCTTTCCTTTGGATATTGATAGAAAACATCATTCTTTCTCTATTATTTTCTGTTTCCTGCTGGTTGCTAAGCATTAGATAACCTTGATTGCTTTATACTTATATCCTCCTCGACATAAGCACTGCTCAGAATTCTTGAGATTCTTGTGATCTTGATCTGTTGAGGATCGGATACGAATTACGGACACGGTTGACTGAGTTACTGGAACATCAAAGTGTGCTTCCTTATTATCATCTTGGTCTCATCACTGGTTGGTTTTCTTAATGATGCATTCAATATTTAATGTAGTAGTTTTGTATATCTGTAATTGTGAATGGTTCGAATGCGCTAAGTATTCTATGGAAAATGTCCAGATATGTTATCCTATATTCATATATGTTAATACTTTTAAAGTTTCTTTCCCCAATCTTAGTTGTTTGAATTTATGTTAATCTTTTAACTGAAAATAAATGTCCCGATACTTAAAATATGTTTTGAGTTTACTTTTCTCCTGATTGTATGTTTCCTTTAGGATAACTCTTAAATTTATATTTGGTTTGTGTATGTGAAATGTTTGTCTTTTAGTATCTGGCATATCCATGGTTATAGGATTAAATTTATGTCATTATATCTAGGCCCCCTTAAGGTCATAAATCTCTTTTCTGTGAAATGTTCAGTATTTGTGAGTCCAAATATCTCAAAAGGAATGTGTCATCACGTACTTAGCCTTCTTTTGGAGAATAGGTCTTGAAAGAGATCATGCCCCCCTTCCCTCCATATTAGTGAGGCATGAATGTACTTCATCAAGGAAGGCTTCATCTTTGCCAAAAGCTTAGTTGAAATAGAGTTAATTCAGTTAACACACACTTGTAATTTTAGTATATATGTCCAAATGATGTGATGAAGGTAAATGTCAACTTAATCAATTGTTGGGTTTCTTGTTATGGATTGCATCCTCTCTGTATCAATGTCACATGAAGTACAATTTTGGTTATTATTCTTGTTTGACATAACATTTTTGGTTGCTTCTTCTTAACATTATATTCAAGTATCTAATCATGTTGTGCTTAATTTTGATGGCAATATTGGTGTCCACAGTTTTAGAGTAAGTAATGTTTCATGGAATTTTATTAAGTATTTGGTGCACTTTATATCTGTTATCGCTGATAGACCAGCCATTTGTTTTCCCCCCATTTTCACGCCTATGTATTTCAATACATAAGATCAAGTAAATTATAATAAAGATGTGACACAACAAATGTTTAGCGACAAGTTTGTGGGTTTATTATCAATGCACACAATAAATGTGTACTTTTTTATTACACATTTTCTCTTGCTTTTTTCCTCTGATCATATCCTGGATTAGTCGATCATCATTTCAAGCTAATTACATTGTTGTTTTCAGGTTTGGTGAGTGTTTGATACAACTTTTAGAAAGAATTGCAACACAGATCAAGTGATTACATCTCTCTACGTCAACATTTTATACAGATCTCCACAAGCCTGCTCTCGTAATTGAGTGATGCTTTGTATTAGTGGTATTAATCCTCTCTTCTCTTAATTTTTTTCAGCATCTCAGATACTATACTAATCCAATGTGAGTATTCAATTTAGGTATACATTGAAAATTAATTCTTAATTCCTAGAATGTTGGATATAAATTTGTGTTCTATTAGAAACAAATATGAACCGTGGAAGCCCTTTCATGGTTTATGTTTATGCAACTGAATCGATAAGGAGATAACCCGTGAAATGCACTTAGTTTTTTGGATGGCATAACTAAATCGATAAGGAGATAACCCATGAAATGTACTTAGTTTTTTGGATGGTTAATTGAGATTTATATTAAGGAAATAAAGTTCTAATTAGACATAAAATTATACAATTTTACCGCACTTTGAATATATACATGTTTAAATTGATAGAGTAAAGCAACTCAGTAAACTAATTATTTTTGAATGCAAATTTTCTAAACCAGTAACTTCAAATTCTCATGAGAATTAAATGAATTGATTCTGTTGTCTTTTGGAGATTTTATTCTCGTGGAATCCAAATTTTTTCCTTACTTGCGATATATTTAAGAACTATTATGAAGACTGACAATGTAAAGATAAATATCTAAGTTGCATACAGTTTAAAAAGGAAAACTCAATCATCCATGAGTGTGGTTAACTTGACTTCTTTATTCAAGGAACATTTTTCTTCTTGCTCGTTAGTTACTTCCCACTCTCTTTGCTACTTTGAGAAAGTGCTTCTTGTAATCTTGATGGTGGAACATATTGTTTTCCCATTCTCTCGATGAAGAGTGGCCTTGTACCTTCTCTGAAATGGTCACTAATATCTTCTAAAATGAATGCAGAACTCCTCAAGTGGTCTTGTGATATACTTGGTAGTTTGTTAAGTTGATTGTCCTACAATATACAAAAGAAAATAAGTCAGCTCGTTAGGTTTGATACAAACAACATAAGTAGATAATAAGAAAAGGTAATTACAATTTGTTCAGTTACAAATGAGAAGCTGATCTGCATTGATATCACACTCTCAATAATGGTGTTTGAAACATACAATAAGAAAACATTTATTTTTATTATCATTATCCTTGTGAAGAAAATCATTTTATTTGATTACTTACTTCTGGTATTGGTATTGCATCTAAGTGTAAAAGGGCCTTCTATTTTGACTTGTTGAAGGACTGGTATTTGTTGAACTTCAGAGTGGTTACTTCCCATATGAATAGGGCACTCTTTACTGTTGTGCTCTAATTTTTCCACATGATTCACGCTTCTTTTTCTGCCCTTTCTGGATGTTTATAACAAGGTACGCTTTCTAGAATCTGATTTTTTTTTAATTGTCTCATCAATTTCTCTCTTCCTTAGTTTCTTGGTCTGGCTGGTTGTGCTTTGTATATGGGTGGCAGAGGTGGTTCAATCCTTGTCTTAGGCCATTGCTCAATGCTGGCAATTGGCAAGATAGATGGACTATAACTTTTCATGTCTGCTCAACTGTGTAGCATTCATGAGCATATATTTTGGGTTCATCCTCTTAAACCCATATAGCTGCAATAGCATGAATACAAGGTATTCCTATTAAATCCCATCTCTTACAAAAAAAGGTCTTCTCCATAAGATCGACGGAGAATAGTCTAAGATAGATGTCATCAATTTGATAGTAGAAGTGGTCAGATTTAGTGGCAATACATTTAGCAGCTTTAGCCTTATTTTCCTCTAGCTTTAACACGATTTCCGCACAGATTCACTAGCAATACTTCATCATACTATCCCTGTTCTTTTGAAGTCTGGACATCATATAGATCCTAATTAATTCAAGCACTATCCAAATATACTTATCTTTTGCATGTTACTACACTGTTGAATGACTCACACAAATTGTTTAATAATACATCACATTTTGGAAAGAAGGAAAAAAAGCCCTTGAATAGTGGATGTGAGGTTTATTACTAAATCATTCAGGGGCTTTTGATTCTAATTTTTCCATCCCTTTTATAGAATTCATGTTTTGCCTGGTAGCTTTTTATAGGATATCTTTCATTGTTTGTCCTCCAAGACCTTCAGTTTTGAAATAGCTGTTTAGATGCCTCATACAAAATCTGTGCGCAATATCTGTCATTATTTCATCAAATGCAGATATTAAACCCTTTTACTTGTCAGAAATGAAAGCCCATGCAACATGGTTTTGTGAGATTCATAAGTCCTCATCAAGAAGTGTAAGAAATCATCTCCATGTTTCCTTCAATTCACCTTCCACTACTGCGAATGCAATAAGATACATGTAATAAGATACATGTTGTTTGCATCAACGCCTACTGTTGTTAATAACTGACTCCCTTTTTGGTGCCCTTTCAAATGACATCCATCAACCCTTATTATGTAGTGGGTGGCCCTCAGAATCAACCACATCATAGTTTCATTGGTCTTTATCTGTGTGCTTGAAAAATATTTCCATCTCTCTACTGTAAGGTATTTCATTGACAAAGTTATATGTAAACCAGTCGATAACTGCCTTGTATTTGTCTCAAAATAAGGCCCAAACTTGAACCAAAATTTCACTTTTCTATCATTAACTTTCAACTTTTTCATACACCGTCTCATCTGAATGATGGAATTTTCATCTCCCTTACAATAATAGTAATAAGTGATCTGTCCATCAACATAGTTCATCACTGGCTCAAACACCCACCAACCCTTATAATGATAGTGTGCATATTTGAATTTTCAAAGGGGTTGATAGTTTGATAGTGTAATCGAAGGGTTTGAATTTTTGTATCAATCAACATTGAAGATTTTGGCTAATTAATTTGATCAAATACTTACACGTTGCTGTGAATTGTAGCCCACTCTTATAACGGAGTTCCATTGTCAAACTAAATGATTTTGTTTCTCTTTAACAGGTGCATTGAATTATTTTAGGTGTAGCAAGAGGAGTTGCTAAATTGTGTTCTCACATAAGAGGATAGGCAACTAAAGAGAATAATTGATCATCAAATAACAAATAATATGTCACTATCATCCGTGTATTAGAGGATTGACATCCTAATGGAATAAGGGAGGAGGGCTGGATATGGTTGTGTATGTGAAAAGATGTTATGGAACGATTTGTAAACTTGTTTATATGAGCCTTATAAGACTAGGCATTACAACATATGAATGACAATGTGTTACAAAATTTACTTTTGAATCTAGTATGAAAAACTTCAAATTAGATTTTTATTTTTTCTCTTTTTCACAGGTATAAAAGATGAGAATTGAATTAAGATTGATGGCAAGTTATGTGTCACCACATTATTGGTACTTTTGGTAAATAAAAATTATACTAGGGCAATCGAATTTGTTGTAGTAATCGCAATTGTATTAAAGTTGTATTAGATATGTTTCATAATTGTATTAAAATTGTATTAAAATCATGAACAATACATTCATAGTACATATTACAAACTTTACTCCTTTTTTAGTGATATCAACGAAAATAATTTAAGTAACAAACTTGTAATACATTTATAACATAGACACAATATATCTTGTAACATCACTCATGTTCTTAGAGATACAAACCAAAATAATTTATAAGACACATATAATACATATTTTATTCATGAATAATACAAGTTTAATTCAGTCTATAGATTATTGTCTTGTCTTCCGTTAGTACGTTTTTCATTGTTAATTTTCTCTTCTAATTCAACATCAATATTGTGTAATACACTTTTAACGCAACTTTAATTCATTTTGTAGTTTATTATTTGTTACTATTAGATTACTTGTTTAATTCACTATTGATATAAGTTTAATTCACTCTATAGATCATTGTCAAGTGTTACATTAGTTACATTTTTTATCCATGCATAATTCTCTCTTCTAATTCAACTTTAATATTTGTATAATGCACTTTT